ATATTTTATTACCATTTTCTAAACTATAGCGAATAAACTGTGATAATGTGAGAAATGTTGAAGGTGTCTGAATAAATTTTGGTTTGACTGTATCTATTTGATAAATGAAGTTAACCAACTAACATTATACATACTCTTTTGGTTTCTGTACCCAATATTTAAAAAAATTACAAATGCAATAAAAATATCAGTATCGGTCCTCGGTATCCGCAAGTACCAAAAATAAAAGTATCGGTATCGGGCGAGTGCTGGAAAAAGTGGTATCGGTGCATCTTTAATCAGAAGGTATCTTGTTTCAACCACGGAGAGATGTCAGTGCACTCCATTTTTCAAGTTCAAGTCCACCGACGTTAATCTACTCTCCCGTCTGGTTAGTTTGTTGGACAAAATGGCAGATTCAGCATTATGACTGGTCAGATCGCCTGTCAATTAAACTCCCGGGGAACAGTGAATTAGCATTTAACTTACCCACACCCACCCACACAACTGTATGTATGATACATGAATCATTTTAAGATTTAACCATTTATTTTTTTCTTTACACAATTTATCGTTTTCTTTTGTCCATAACAGCCCAAGCATACCTATAGACCAGGGGTGGTGAACTCCGGTCCTGGAGAGCCGCAGCCCTGCAGAGTTCAGCTCCAACCCTAATTAAAACTCACCTGCCTGTAGCTTCCTAGTAACTGTTCAGACCTTGATTAGCTTGTTCAGGTGTGTTTGATTAGGGTTGAAGCAAAACTCTGCAGGGCTGCGGCTCTCCAGAACCGACGTTCGCCACCCCTTCTATAGACCATAGAGTGGTGCATAAAGCAATTCATAAGGAAAAAAGTTGTAAATAATCAATCAAATCCACAGCAAATTCTAAGGGATCAAGGTCTTAGTGCATTCCATTGAAACCAATTGCATGAGTTCCCCAAGTGGACACTCATTCAACGTAAGCAATAGCGTACCTCCAACTCCACGAAACGGAGGAGAGTTAGCGAGGGAAGGCCATTCAAATTTGAAATGGATCACAGCCTTAGTAACATCCAGGTAAGTGTGTTAGGGCAGTTTATAGCTAAACACTGCAGGACACTGGTCCTCCAGGAGCAGGATTTGACCCTTCTGAAGAATAGTAACCACTAACCTGCAGAGAGTCTACATCCAAACCTTTACTTGTTTGTGCTTCTAGCATTGTCTATTAGTATCGATTCTTTTCTATTAGTATTAAAAAAAGTAACAAATAACTGGCAGATCTGTGAATTATTGATATCTAAGGTGGTAATACTGCGGCCATGAGTCTTTATTAATTATTCATCTTATATCATGTTTACAATTTACAGTTTACCAATTTGATTTTATTTTTTTTTAGGTTTTCATCCCAGAAATGCTACTTTGTTGTCTGAGAAACTGTTCGTCCATCATTTTTTAGCAGACTGCTTATATTTTCTTCTGTTACCTTTGGCGGTTATCACAATTTCATCCCATACAAAGCAGTGAGGGTTGATAATAGGCCTCACATAAATTAAAAACATAATATGAAATTAATTCAGTGGGAACAGAGAGGTGTAACCATCCAAGCAACACTAATACTGAAACCCATCTGTTTCTCACACATGTAAGTGCATGAATGATAAGGGTCACATTATGCTAGATCTTTTGAATTTAGCTTGGTGTGTTTTCTACTGCGGTTCACTGTTGTTTCAACAGCCCACCTTTTGTATGAGAACAGTGAGAACAAGTTCACCAAAACCACTAATCAAATCAGAAGTGATAGGAATATACCAGAAGAAGGCCAATGTAATAGAGTAGATTGTCCCTATGTGAAATGCTGATGCAGAGGGGTAAGATTATGGCTACATGTGCTTAATTTAGCTTAGCCAAACACAAATACTGCTGGCCTCGTCAATCAGGCTTCTGCTTTTCCCAGTTACTCAGCACTCAGGCAGGGTGTGGTGGTACAGATGAAACCACATCCTTTTGGACTTCATTGTACCGGAGTCGGCACCTGTGAGAATGCTATTGGCATCGTCATCTTCCTCCCACTTCCACTCCCACTCTCTGTCCTACCAGTGACCTGAAAGGCGGCTGTGAATTGACTGTGTAGAGTTGCTATTATGAGCTCATATGAAGAAAAACTAATCACTTGATTTGCCAAAAACAAAACAAACTGTGGTTAATCATTTTACTTGATTTACATTGTCAAATCAGGCAGCAACATCAACTAAAGGCTATTAACTAATCTAAGTCGTGGCCTAATGTCAGTTGTGGCCTAATGGTTAGAGAGTCGGACTTGTAACTCAAAGATTGTGGGTTTGAGTCTCTGGTCCGGCAGGAATTGTCGGTGGGGGGAGTGAATAACCGGTGCTCTCTTCCACCCTCAATACCTTGATGAAAATACATCAAGGTGAGACCCTTGATCAAGGCACCAAACCCCCAACTGCTCTCTGTGTGCCGCAGCAATATGGCTGCCCACTGCTGTGTGTGTGTGTGTGTGTGTGTGTGTGTGTGTGTGTGTGTGTGTGTGCGTGTGCGCACTTGGATGGGTTAAATGCAGAGCACAAATTCCGAGTATGGGTCACCATACTTGGCCACACTATGAGATAGTTTAAATTACATGAAAATGGTAAAAGCTTTTACATTGGAGAGTTCAGATTAGCTAATGCACTGAAGGTCATTATATACTATTCATTGTTGTTCTGCAGAATAGTCATGGAAAATGTAATTTTAGAAGATGGCAAATGAAGCCAAGAGAACAAAATTTCACAGTCCTATTGGGTCCTACGAAAAATGACCAGCCTGCCTCATTTTGAGACACTTTAAGAACCAATTGCCTCTTCCTGAACTGGCAAGGCAAGTAAACTTGCCAAGTCAGGGAAAATAAGCAGTCCGAGTCACTGTTTGCATGTTCAGTCTTCATGCATGTGTCTTGTGCCAGGCTTTGGTGACGCCAGCCAATCCGAAGAGTCAAGTCAAGTCAAGTCAAGTCTGCTTTATTGTCTACCTCCGCGCTTACCCCTCTTCTGCTTCCTCTCACGCCGCTTGTGGCGCCTCCGCTGTGGGCGAGATGCAGTAGTGGGGGTCGGTGATGGTGTGGGCCTCCGGAGCAGACCGAGATCCCGCAGCTCTTCAGCGTGCGCAGAGTTTAACTCTAAAAATGTGGTTCTGCCGACATCGAGCAGAAACTCACGACTGTATGCGCGCTTAGAGACAGATAGACGCGACGAATACGTACAAAAACACTGCAACTCACAAGACAAAAAACACGAAAACACCTTTCTGTCGGGAGAGAGAGAAGCCGCAGCGTGTGAACGCGCCGCCATCTTTATTCAGAGCTCCAGGAAAACCAGTGTGAGGTGCCAATGTACCTAGTTCACTACTTTTAGGGGGGTAACCATCCCCCATTTGGGGGTTTGACGCTTTATTAGACTAGTGTGTCTCATCTCGCTAATCACAAGCACACTGACACAACTACCATGGGACGCCTGTTTATGGGCTTTTGTTATAAACAGAGATCCATATAAAAACCATGTTTTGCTAATGTTACTAATTAGGCATTTTTCCTTTCTCATGGGTTTAATCTAATTTACAAGGGTTACTATACATAAGTACTTCCATCAAAAATATATAAGATTAAGTTTATAATTATAGTTTATGAATATATAAAATTTCAATATAACCAGGCCCGATAAGCACTGTGGAGTATTTTCAGTTTAACCACAGCTATTTCAAAGTAACTTTTTTATTAAAAATACATTTCTGTGTACACTGTTTTATTGATGATGGCAGCAGTAATTCATCAAATAATGATCAAACGATGCAAAAGAGCATTTTAATGAGGGCATGTTTTCCCTATGCAAATCTTGTTCAAAACTAAATTTTCAACCTTGATCTTACAGATGGACATATAATTCCTGTACACACTGCGTACACTCTCAAAAAGGGTGTGTTAATTAATAACACATTTTTTGTGTTATGGCTATTTTAACACATTTTGTGTAATTTTAAGTTGATCATGTGTAAAAAGAAAAAGAAAGAGAGAGAGAGAAACAACACAGTGTCCAACACAATATGTGTTAACTATCATCCAATCACATTGCTGTACGTCACTCCGCGCCGCAAGAAGCAAGTTTGCGCCTCTTTTTCCATCGGTGGATGACTTGGATACACACGTCAGGTATTTCGATTTATTTGTTATTAGAAATTGTCAAATACAAATTGTCAAATGTATTTTATTATTGTTATTTTTTAGACGATCAATTGTGCGTTTAGTTAGCGACCTCTCGTGCTTACGGGTATTTTCCGTAGACGCGAGAGGCGATGTTGAACAAGACAGAGACAGCAACCGCGTCTGATAGTTAACGTTAGTGCTTCACAAATTATTTTTATTTCTCCTCGTACACTTTGGTAAGTTTGTCCCTCACTTTCTGGAGAGAACTCATTTTTAACGAGTTTTGTTTTTCTTTGTTTGATTTGTTGCAAATGACATGACGTCTGATAAAACGCTGCAGCTAACGTTAGGCAGGATTCTTGTTAACGAGTTTGACAAAGCGGTGCTACTTTCATTGCTATCTGTCGCCTCTGTTTCATTAAACAACAGAATGTATTGATGTTTTGTTAAATGCCCTTAAATAATAACATGATTTATCAAGGTAACGGTTCAAATTTGATTGACTTCGACATTCGAGTACGTCTCCATCTCAAAAAGAATGTGTTAATTTGACTGTTTTATAACAGTTTGTGTCATTTTGTGTACGTAATTGACACAAATTGTGTAATAATAACATTGGTGGTGTAAAAAATTAGCAGGAATAACACATGGTTGAGTTAAAAGGAGGGGGGGGGTGATTTTGAAAAGTTTTATTACATGTTTTTAATACGACGGAAACTGTATTTAACCAGTGTCCAACACAATACGTGTTAACTATCATCCGATCACATTGCTGCTACGTCACTCCGCGCCGCAAGAAGCAAGTTCGCGCCTCTTTTTCCATCGGTGGATGACTTGGATGCACACGTCAGGTATTTCGATTTATTTGTTATTAGAAATTGTCAAATACAAATTGTCAATTGTATTTTATTATTGTTATTTGTTAGACGATAAATTGTGCGTTTAGTTAGCGACCTCTCGTGCTTACGGGTATTTTCCGTAGACGCGAGAGGCGGTGTTGAACAAGACAGCAACCGCGTCTGAATAGTTAACGTTAGTGCTTCACAAATTATTTTTATTTCTCCTCGTACACTTTGGTAAGTTTGTCCCTCACTTTCTGGAGAGAACTCATTTTTAACGAGTTTTGTTTTTCTTTGTTTGATTTGTTGCAAATGACATGACGTCTGATAAAACGCTGCAGCTAACGTTAGGCAGGATTCTTGTTAACGAGTTTGACAAAGCGGTACTACTTTCATTGCTATCTGTCGCCTCTCTTTCATTAAACAACAGAATGTATTGATGTTTTGTTAAATGCCCTTAAATAATAACATGATTTATCAAGGTAACGGTTCAAATTTGATTGACTTCGACATTCGAGTACGTCTCCATCTCAAAAAGAATGTTAATTTGACTGTTTTAACAGTTTGTGTCATTTTGTGTACGTAATTGACACAAATTGTGTAATAATAACACATTGGTGTGTAAAAAATTAGCAGGAATAACACATGGTTGAGTTAAAAGGAGGGGGGGGGGGATTTTGAAAAGTTTTATTACATGTTTTTAATACGACGGAAACTGTATTTAACGTGATCACAGTTTAATAAAAACATTGTACGTTAGGCCTGTTAATTGTAATGATTTCATTTCCACGGTTATTCAAACAACGAATAAATTATATACGTTAGAGTAGCTAAGCGAGCAAATAACACAACGAAGCTTTTTGAAACTCCGAATCATTTAAACCATTGCGTCGCAAAATGATTCACTGTTTCGAAGCGCTCCAATCGGATCGCGTATCACGAATCATTTGATTCAGATCGGGACTTCAAAGCGTGTATAGCGAATCATTGAAAATGAACGACTGGTTTTCGGAGATCAAAAGATTGCTTTAGGTTTATCTAGGAGGTTTATCTAGCTTATGCTAGCTTGATGTTTTCGTAAATAAATAGATATTGTTCATTCTAACACTGCTTGTTAACTACTCTTTTACATTATGAATGTGAATTCTATGCTTAATCAATATATGTATATATAACAGATTGGTGTTTTTGTTTGCCCTTTTGCAGCTTCAAGTGGAGGACACTCCAAAAACACTAGTGGCTGTACTACTTGATGAAAAGGAGATATGCAAAAAACTGCAGCATCTCAAGCAGAAATAATAAATAATTGATGCTTCCAAATGTCTCCTCCCCTGTGCTGCAGAGTACCACCAAATTTTAACGCTGATTTGTGATTTGAATGAATTTATTGACACCGACCTAACTGAGAAAGTGGAAGCCTTGGACAAGTTTCAAGTTTTGTTTAAGTCGATTAAGAGAAGTGGATCACATGCATTGGTATGTAATTTCCCTTTTCAGTAACATAACTAATAATAAATGACGTGTCATGTATTTATAATAATGTAAAGTAGTACAGTATTTATCTACATTTTCTTTTTTCATTAGCATAGTACATAATGGTAGCTAATGAAAACTCATATTAACGTCAATAGTAAACACACTTTACTAGTTTGAGATTGTTTAACTTTGTATATATTATATGATCATCCACCATAGAATGTTTCAGTATTTACCTACAGTATTACACATCACACTTTTGTGTCACATACATTGTAATCCTGATTTCATATAAACACAACTTTAAAAAAAATCACCATGCCATCTGGCCCAATGACACTGTTTTTTGCCAGGAGCGCCATTCAGACCAGAAACAGACAACTTTATAAATTAAACTTATCCATTGATAAAAGATTACTTTAACATTTTTGTGCATAACATAAGAGTAGATGCAGTTTCATTTTATTTAATATCTTTATTATTGTACTTCTTCTTGTTACATTTGTTGTCCTTTAAGGATGAACAATTGGATGTAGATGCAGCCAGTCCAAGTCATCAACAGAGTGTATGTTCATTGAGTACTTGCGTATACTGATACAAGTAATATACTTGAACATATTTTTTTTCATTCAGTTTAATTCAAATCATAATACTGCTGTATAGTTTTTTCTTTTTACTGATATTCATAACTTGGAATGGCACACAATGCCTCTCTGAAGTTAAGATTGCATAAACTTGACTCGAAAAGACTCAATTTTTTGTGGTCCGTACAGTAGAATGCAGAAGAAGAAATTTCAACACACTTCAGCAATAAAAAAAGACACAAATGTTTGTCTAGATTAATTTTTGCTTGGTATTGTTGAACTGAATCATCGAAGGTCAGAAGCGAAGACATTGCTTTATAGAATGGAAACCTTTTTGTAAATCCAAGATATAAAATTGTTTAAAAATGTCTTTATGAAATTCAAATGACATGTGAATGTTGACTTTGTGAAAATGTAGCAGTCAAATTTTAATAAATAATTTTTTTTTTTTTTAAGTGCTTTTTATATTGCATTTATTTTAACTGGTCAAAAATAGCACATTTCAAGAACACAAATTGTGTGATTTATGACACATTAGTGTGTTAAATATTTTAACACACTCCCTGTGTTAAGAAAAATAACACACTGGTTGAGTTAAAAGTAACACAAAATGTGTTGTCCTTAACTAGACACACAGGTGTGTTAAGATATAACACAGGTTGTGTTGTTTTTAACACATCCTTTAAGAGTGTACAGGCATGCACACATACCTACAGACTGAACACGTAATAATGATGTCACCGTTTTCACAAATTCAATTACACGGATACGCTAACAGTATCGTTTTCAAAATCTTG